TAAAGACTAAATGTAGTGTGTGATGCTGGTTTGGATCCTGGACAAGGGCAAGGTAAAATAGGTATGACATTATTTGACAGCAGGAGGAATTTGAATAGGAACTGCAGATTAGATAATGGTATTTTAATAATGTTAAGTTTCCTGGTTTTGATAATAATATGGTGGTTACATATATATAAAAATTCTTATTCTTAGGAAATCCATCCTGAAGTATTTAGGGAAAAGGGCAAGATATCTCAATAGTTCAGAAAAAAATGTATATGTTTGCACATATGTGTGTATATGTATATATGTACACACACACACACACACACACACACACACACACACACACACACACACNTTTCTCTAAGACTGTGTTTATTTTTCTTCTTTTTCCTCTCTGTCATTCAGCTTGCATAATCTCCATCAGTTTCTCTTCAGATTTGCTAATTATTTCACTGCCAGATCAAATCTGCTTTCCTACACTTTGTTGCAAATGCAGTTGGTTCCTTTGGGAAGGAAGGAGGAATTTAAGTTTTAAGGCCTATTTTTCCCTCTGGCAAAAATCTCAGTCAGGTCTCTGGAGCTGGGTTGACAACAGCCAATTTTTCTCTGAGTAACATCCCCAATCTAGGAACTGAGCACTTCATGTGGAGGCAGCATCCTAATGTGCTCTTGGATTGCTTTTAATGACATTGAACTACTGCATTAGCAGGAGCAAGGGCAATTAGGGCCCAGTACTCTATACATACCATGTCCAAGGCAGAGCCTCTGATACATGAGTTGGGGCTGGGCAGCAGATAGGAGTTCTCACCTCTTGATTGCACTCACCCATGATTTAGATTTAACTTTGGGTATCCAGAGACAGGATTAGAACTGATGAGTCCTAATCCTCTTAGAAAGAAAACCCTCCAACTAGATCTGAGGATAAAGGGAGCCCTGTGTTTTTAAAGTAGTCTGGAGTAGAACTTTCACCTCTCTGAGATAAGAAGGGGGAGAAAGCAATTGGTTTTGATTCAAATATGATAGACTGTCATCTTTCTTATTGTTTTTTTTATTTGTTTTCTTGAAGAGACATTCCTTTATTTGTTCTCTACCCTTGAGACCCTACTCAGAGACTTAAATATGTGTATTATGCATGTATATGTATGTATGTATATGTGCACACAAATGTGCATATATATACGCATGTGTGTATATGTGTGCACATATGTGTGTATATATATATATATACACACACACACACACACACACACACACACACACACACACACACACACACACGTACACAGTAGCAGAGTCAGGGAAGGCTTCCTGGAAAAAGGAACATTTATTTCAACAGTTACCCAAAGAAACATATAAGAGTTAGCTAGGTAGAGAGGTTGGGGAGTGGTGTTACAGGTGGAGGACCTGGCTCCAGAAACAGAAAGATGTTCATAGGGGTGTCCTATATGGAACTGGGGGACAAAGAGAAACAAAAATTGAGGCTGGAGAGATAGACTGGGTCAGATGGCTAGTTAAGGCTATTAATGCTGAGAGTTAAAAGGGAATCCTGAAGAGTTTTAGGTGGGAAGTGACATGATATGAGCTGTGGATTCCAAGCATTATTTTGGCCAAAGCACATTTGAATGGGTTAGAGGGACAAAGACTGGGGGCAGATCAAGCACATGTGAATGGGTTCGAGGGACAAAGACTGGGGGCAGAGAAGCAGCTCTCTAACCCACTGCCCCCTCTCTCCTCCAAATACCGCACTTTTGCCCAACAGTAGAACAGGAAACAGAGGGGGATTGTGTATGTAATCTTTTTTATCTGAGGTGTGGTTTACTACCGCTTTTACAAATTTAGGGAGGGGCACGCCTGAAGCAATTCCCAAGGTCCTTCCAGTTGTAAAGTCTTTTATTCTAGTTTTTTGAATGGCACCTCCCACTACCAATAAACTTGAGGATTATCCAGTTTTGCTAATTCATACACAGATCACCTCTGGCTTGAAATGTAAACTTCTCAAGCACCAACATTATTTTCCTCTGGGCACAATGTCCTCTAGATGGTAGGAAAACATTCCTATGTGGCAGGCAGCCTAAGGTCATGGGTTTTGTAGAGCTAGGTTTTGGTCTGGAGCTCAATCCTGTTGTCCAGACTGG